TGGTAATAGGTATGGGTCTAGTTTTAATCTTTGGCAGGTTGAAATCCAGTATTTCCAGCACCATTTATTAAAGAGGCTATTTTTCCTCCAATGAGGGTGGTTGGCTCCTTTGTCAAAGATGAGGTGGGTGAGTATGTCTGAAGTTGTTTTTGCATCTTCTAATCTATTCCACTGATCCTCGGTATGGCACTATACTTTTGAGTATCAGTCATTTACCCTCCTAGTCTTGTGGCTCACTGGAGCCGCCCAACATCACAAGAGTGTACTTGGCCACATATTACTAGCCCAGGAAAAGATTCAAATTCAAAATTTGAAATATGGGTTCTACTGAATACATATTGCTTTTGTACCATCATAAAGTAAAAAAAAATTGTATGTTAAACCATTGTAAGTCAGGGATCATCTGTAGATATACTAGTGGACAGAGGCCTGGGGGTGAGAGTGGTGTCTGTTGAAGGAGCTGTTATGGGTTACAAAACAGTTTTGCACTCCTGGAGAATAAAATGTGAGATAGAACAGTTAGAATTGAGGCTGGAAAGAGATTCAGGACCCAGATCTTCAGGCACCCAGTGTAAAACATTACAGGTTCTCCCCATTTCACTAATTTGTCTTGCATTTCCTAATTATTAAGAAAAAAAAGAGGTATCATTTACGAGTCCCTTTTATGTACCAGTCCCTTACATATATTATCTCATTTACTCTTCACAGCAACCTTATGATATAGGTATTAGGATTCCAGTGATGATATGAGCTTGGAAAGTTTAAGAAGCTCTTGGACCACAATAAGGAGTAAGTAGTGGAGTCTGAATTCTAACCCACAGCTTTCTGGCTTCAGGGCTTGTACTTTTACCCCATTTGGTGACTTGTTTTTTTGAGACAGGGTCTCACTATGTAGTTCAGGCTGGCCTTGAACTCTCTATGTAGCCCAGACTGGCTTTGAACTCACAGCGATCCTCCTGCCTCTGCCTCCTGAGGGCTGGGATCACAGGCATGCTCCACCATACCTGGCCTTCAGTGGCCTTTTAAATCAGGCATGTCTCCATAGCTTCTTGGCCTTTTGGCTAAGATCAAGTATAAATCAGATATGTCCAATCCATGGCACCTGGACTAATGTAGCCCTGGACAGCTATGCAGTAATTTGGCTCCACAAGATGATAAACTTTTAACATTATTATGTGATTTTTAGTGCTACTTTTCATGATTCAGTTGTGTAGTGCTCTGGTGTAGGATGCATAGGTGACAACAAACACTGTGTAGGGGCGGGTGCAGTGCAGTGCTAACTGTTCCCCGTGTCCACCACATACAATCAGTGGCATCCAAACCTGCGTGTAACTGTATCCGACTTTACATGCACTTGAGTGGCTTGGAGGGTAAAACAAAGTGATTACCAATAATGATATTTCAATCTACTTGCAC